TGATCAAGGATCAGTCGGTCTGGCAGCCAAAATCAGTTGCTTAAGGGCTGCCAGACTGGACTTTCTCCGGAAATTCTTGAACTATAAGGCTTCCCGCACGTTGTTTTGATAGTCTAGATTTTGCATTAATTGCAAGAATTCGATTATTTAATTCTACCAAAACGAGTATATTAAAGTAAAGTAAGAAATTGAAAAACTTATATTTTTTTCTTGAAACTGTCGAATGAAGAAGGAAATAGACTCCGTATTTGCAGTAAAATATAAAAATACATTGTTTTTCAAAGAAACAAGTTTACTAAATATTTCGTTGATTTACTGAACAGAAAGATAATTGTAAAGGAAAATGGAGACAAAATAGAAGCAAAATTTGAAACTTAAACAAGTTAGAAGGGAAATTCATCCCAGTAGTATCGAGATTCTAGTTACATATGTCAGTTTTTTGAATAATTGGTGAACATAAGCGTGTGTTTCTTAAAGAGTGCCATTAGTCTGTTTGCAAGTTTTGTGTCTCCTTTATGGCTCATCGTTGTCCTCGCATGACTCATCAGAGGCGGAATAGTCTTCTCCTTCTTCTAGAAAAAAAAGAAAAAGAGGCCGATCAAGAAATTGATTTTAAAGCCCTTGAGTTAGGTGTGACGAAATCTTGTAAATGATTCGTTCAGTATTCAATGCGAAGAGCAAATCGAAGGCATTTTACGCAAAAATGAATAACAAATATGTAAACTTGCCAGTGCGTCTTACTTTTTAGGTTGGGGGCTGAGGAGAATTAATTATTCGATTTTTCACCCTTCTTCCGCCCCAAAAAAGACGTCAAGAGCCGGTCGCGAATCAGATTTTTCAGTTGAATTGGTTGATGATAAACCTAACAAGCTCATCACCTGATGACGGGTGGGGAGTTGGTCCTTAAGAATGCTTATGTCTGAGCTCATCAATGAATGGACTCATTAGGTTTTAACATTGACCGATTCAAATAGATATCAGTATACAAATTGGACGTATTTCTATCAAATTGAACTATGTGCATTATGACGTGAGCCCTGTTATGCACATACTCTCATGGATCTCAGGGCTCATGTCTTGATGCACATAGTTCCGTTTCATAGAAATACATCCAATTTAGGTTATTGAAACAAGGTTAAATAGAAAATACACATAAGAGCATCACCTACCGGATAGATTTTCATCAGCTATCGCATCAAGAATTGTTGGTGGTGCAACTGGTCCCTCAAACCAAATTGGCTCGTATCCGGAGTTGCCAACTTTCCAACCAAAGTTTTCTGCACAAAGCGATTCTGCTGGGCTGGGATTTGTTGCGTTGCTCCATATATGAGCTTGGTAAAGGCTCCGTTTTACGTGCTGTTGAAGGGATGATTGGCACGGAGGGATTAAAGAAGGATTGAATGTTGAGAATTTTTTGAGTAAAGGCTCGTCCTTTTCCTTTGGTTTATACGCGATTTCAAATTTCCTGTATCTTGCTTCATTGACTGATTTGCACTTAGATAGGCCGTAAAGAGAACATACAAATTGCTCCGCAGTTTTTGTCGAAATTTCAGAAGAACTGGCGATTTCACAAAATTTTCTAAAATAGTCAATGTAAATTGGGGTTTTTTGCATCAGTTTGAATGGTAATACTTTTCCCTTCTTAAAAAAACTTGATGTGGAGTCACAACCGCTGAAGGCGTGAAGACCTGGTAATGCGAGACAGGTATCCTCTCCCACCTCAGCGCACATGTCATTTATCTGCAAATAGCGAAGTGTATTGTTTGTATAAAATCCAACTTCCATCCAAATTCTTACATCCTTCGAAAATTTGGATAAATTGCCCAGAAGAATAACCAATACATCTGTGTCATTACATCTAACAACCACGTTTTTACTTCTCTTGAACTTCGATAAAACGTAAACGATTCTTGTGTCGGCCTCCTCATGATGGCATGAAAATAATTGACACGGTACTTTCGACACATGACCATTCACAATTGAGAATTCAAAGCATTGATCACCTTGATTCATAAAAACAGTTTTATCCCCGAAATATTGTACACAACTTGGGTCTTGCCATTGAAGAATCATGAATTCGATCAAGTTTGATTTGAACTCTTCACTTTTTAGACAGTTTGTGAAGTTCATGGGCTTTATTTGATCAGGCCCGTAAATAGTGTAAGATTCAGTTTTCACGACCCCAGCTCGACGCTGCCTTTCTTGGTCTTTAATGCTTGGTTTTAAATATTGGTCAAAAATGACGAAAATTTCTTGAGCTTTGTAACTTACGACCATCTGCAAAAATTTTCGCGCTATTTTTCCGTAAGTTCGAGGAACCTCTCCAATAGTATGCAACAAAAAGAAACCATCAATCAAAACTGTATCAATACAACTCGGACCTTCTGCAGGTGGAACCATTTTTTCTAGTTGGCGTATCAGAGCAGATTTGTCAGTTTTTATGAAACTCCCATCGGAATGACTAAGGGACCTCGGTGTTGGAGTAAGTGGATACTTAAGTACTTCAGCCATGTCTACTCGGTGTTCGGACGATACTGCCAACATTCGCGCAAACAAATTTTTGCAGCCGATTTCGTCTGATAATTTGTTATCAACTGTGCGGGTGAGCTTTTTTTGTTCATCAGCAAAAGTAAGGACTTTTTGTCTTTTAATTGGCTCTTCAAATCTTTTGGGGTCTGCGGAGCACTGTTCGATGAACTCGTCGCGAGCTTTACTTCCGGTAACTTCTAAGTTCAGCAAAAACTCTGTTGTCTCTTCTCGCGCCGCCTTTCCAGTTGCAATATTGAAAAGCTGATTTTCTTTCAGTGAGCTATCGAATGGGTTTACATGCCTCTTAATAGATTCAACTAAGTTACCCACAGCTTCTGTATCCTTCTTAATTCTCCGGGGAGTCAATTCAGCCGTAACATCATTTTTAGATTTCAGCCCAGCAGTTTCTAAAGTTGAGGAAATAATTTCGGCCTTGATTGAGTGAAGACGAGCCCACCTTTCTCTGGCTGAGATGGAATTTGTAAAATGTGATATACCCGTTAGTTTGTTGGCTGCATCGGCATTTATGGTTTGTTCCAGTGTTAAGTCTACTGGCGATCTTGAAAAGGTAAGGGCTGTGCGTCTAACTGCAAAACAACCAGAATTAATTGTTTTCATTAATTCGGGGTGTGTCTCCTTTACTTTCATCAAATTTTCGTGATACTTAACGAGCCATCGGGCGTAGTTAGGCTGGTTTAGAGCAAAAAAAAATGAAGTAAACTTCGGGATTACGTAAGTGTAAAGTTGGAAGTCCCCTTCTCGAATGCTCCTGCTAAACCAGAAGTAATAGTTTATCATCCTCACGTACTGATAGAAAAATTGGGAAGTTTTACCATGATTTCCAGCTAGAGTTTCGTCGCAATAATTCCTGTACTCTGCTAAGAGATTGCCCAATTCACCAGAAACACGTAAATTTTCTTTTGATGAAGAGAGTTCTTCCAATTCTGAAATAACTGCCGCACCGGTAACTAAATTTTTCGAGGTCAAAAAACTTTGAAAATGTAAAATTTGAAGGGCTAATGATATAATAGGATGAATTCTTTTGCATCGATTGAAATGTTTACCTTGAAGAAATCCATTGACTGATCCACCTGCAATAATTTCTGCGTCTACGAGAATATCCGTCAAACCGCAGTCTTCGATAACTTTGCCAATGGCATGAAAAAAAGCCATCATGGTATGGAAGTCTCCCATTTGAACGAACAAGTTGTCAAAAGCTGGAGCTTCGGTGCACTGGATTTGGAAAGCAACTTTGGCTATTGCTAAATCATAAGTAACACAGATATTTTCTTGACCACACTCTGCTGCAATTTGTTTCGCTCGTTTCATAGTCTCTAGCACCACAGAATTCGAGGTCGGAGATTGGTTAATGGGTGGCAAATAAAAAATATTTTGCCTAGGAGAAGTATCGCGAATTGTTTTAGCATTGAACCCTATCCACATTGGTGTATCTGGAAGTTCAAGTGCGACTGAAACCATCCACAGTAGGTCTCGTTGCTGTGCCGTAGACAAGGATTCTGGAACAATTAGTCTGGCTGGATAATCCAATGGTTCAATAGTGGCAGTAAATTTTGGTTTTTTGCGGTACGGCTCAATGACGGTCATGTTATCACTTTCAAATTTTCTTCTCCGTTTTTTTGGAGGAATCACTGATGGTTGCTCCAAGGTAGCAGAGCAGGGTTCAGCCAGATTTGCATCACTTATCTGATAAGCAATGCCAACCGTATCGTGCAATGTGTCTTTACCGTCAATTGTTTCAACGTAACGGTCAAAGTTATTGAAAGCTACCCCTGTTGCCAAGTTGGCTGATTTTATCATAGCCGAGGGTGCCAGAGTATGCTCACTGATTGCCAAGTCTGAATAACATAATTCAGTCTCGATACTTTCGAGCATAGAGTAACTCAATGTGTGACCATATCGATTTAAAATATCAATAATTTTTCTGCTACTAGTCAAACTCATCATACTTAAACCAAGTGTAATATGTTTACTGGGTTTCAATTTCCCTTTAGACCAAGAAAAAATAATATCTTCCGCCAAGGATTTCACTCTACGTCTTGTATGTTCACTTTCCTTCGTTTTCGAGCTAGTTCCACCAATCAACTCTGACAAAAATTCTGACAATTCCGGAGGAGTCTCAACTTCTCCTTTCTTAACCGTTTCAGTTGTTAAAATAGACGGTAGGAAAGATGGTTCTACTTTTGATATGATTTTTCTTAGTTTACTCGCAGTCTCTTTAAAAAGAATTTGATCGTTAGTAGCGGCTACTAAAAGTTGAAGTTGATCCTCTGAGAGGTCACGGTGAAAAACAACTTTTTTCTGGTTGACGGTTCCTATGGTCAGACTATCTGAAAAGTGTTTGACTAGTTTTGATTCTAATCTCTGAGTTGTGTAAGAACACTCAAGCTCTGTCATATCTTCGTACAAAATTGCAAACTGTTTCAACAAATTTACTAAAAGATATGCCTTTTTCTGTATAACAATATTTTCATGGACAAATTTAAGAAATTCTTCCATAACTTCATCGAACCCGGTTTTTTGCTTAGCTGAAGATTGACTATGGGTGTTTTTCAAACAAGGAGCACTATATTTCAGCCAACAAATTTTATGATAATGTACTTCTTTGGCCACAAAATTATCACCTACTTCAGCTAAAAAATCAATATCATTTAAACTATGGGCTACTTTTTTAACACTCTCCTCAAAGGCGAAAGTTCTCACTGGAATTAAATCCTGTCTTTCGAGGTTGACAAATTTTCGATTTTTATGGCAAAAAATACATACTTTTGGTAAAACGCCTGTTGAAGATACAGGAGGAAGAAAACATCCTTGTGATCGCGTTTTGACCAATGGCTCTGGAGGTTGTAGGATCTCTGCATCCTGGTTTTTCGATTTTGCGGACACTGCAGTAAATGCGCGATAGCACTTAACATGATAGCCAATGTTCACGGAAGAGACAAGATTTTCAGGAAGAGTTAAATCCGCATACTTAAAGTTAGACGCGATTCTCGTTTGCAGTATGTCTTTGCACTTTTTCAGGGAAGCCTCTGTAAAAGCTACAAGTTTCCCCGATTTACTTTCCGTTTTACGCACAAAGCACGTTGTTGCCACCGCACTCATTTTTTTTCGAATTTAACGCACTGATAATACATAACCTAAACTTCGTTTAATGCAGTTTTTCCTTGGCAAATATTTCCAAGTGGTAGAAGTAATCACCTAATCCAAATCTATAGGTGATTTTTAAAGTCACAGTAACTCGCGATCCGCTCTTTAAAGCATGTAAATCGAGTAAGATGTTAAAAATGCGGCTGGAAATAAGTAAAAAGCGCTAACTTAACACCGCAAATATGCATAAAAAACCACGTCAATGCAACTGTTGAAAACGGGACGCGTTTCCAGCCTTGGCGAGCTCAAAAAACGCACTGACAGAGATAGAAGAAAATCGAGGAATGACTTCATATGTGAATGGATTGATTGAAAAACCTAATATCTGTATTTTCTGATTACCCTTGATACACGTATGCATACACGGATATCAGAGCCCATGAAAAAAAGAATATGAAGGGTTTTTACATGACCCGAAAAAGATGTAACATTGCCAGAGCTACGAGATTGCTGAGATCTACTTCTTAGTGCATACACAGAAAATGTCACGTTTCCATGAGGACCTGGCAGCGCTGTACAACTGCGTGGTTTCGCGAACAAAAAGACCATAAAACGCCCCCGTTCCCTGCTACCCCTACTGTACCCTACGCATCGAGCGCGTCGGGCGACTGATAAGAGATGCGTCAAGTTCTACCCTGTTCTGAACCAGAACTCAAACTCTAGACCAGCGAAACAACGTGCGGGAAGCCGTATAGTTCAAGAATTTCCGGAGAAAGTTCAGTCTGGCAGCCCTTAAGCAACTGATTTTGGCTGCCAGACCGACTGATCCTTGATCA